AACATCATCCTCCAGCGGCTCACTCTCGTGCCCAGCCGACGATCGTGAAAGCGAAACCCCCCTGCAAACTCATCGGCCAGATCCACCTGCGATCCCCACGAGCTCATTCCCTTCCATGCCTCAGCAGCGGCGGGTCCTGAATCGCAGGAAGCAGATGGCTGCCCCTCTTTCCTCGAAAAATGAGACAAACGAGAGCGGAGCTTTTCCCTTGCAAAAAACGCTCGCAGTGCACGCCGATTGCCCCCTCGGAGGCATCGCGCGCGTGCTCTTCGCCCAAACAAATAACGCATAGATTGTGTGTGTCATCAGATGTCAAACAACATCAACACTGATGCACACATCCTTAAACGCTTTGCTAGTGCGCGCCATAATGAGATGAATAGATCGCTCTTACCACAGAAATGCACGCTTCAAACAAAACAGTCAATGAAGACGAAGAAGAGAATGATGTGTGCTCCCAGTGCCTATTTATACTATATTCGCACCGGTAGTGATGTCATAGCTGTCGCCGGCCAACGAGTTGGTGTTTTTTCAATGTATGCTTCAGACACGGGTCACGACGAGGCGTTCCCCATAGTGACCCCGAGAGGACGCAGTTCGAAGTTCCCATGAAAGGGAAACAGTATAGGCCTGGCTCAAATCCTGTGTGTATCAAGTAAGGGGTAAGTTTAGGGGTAGGGTTGGTGTAGGGCAATAGAAAATACGGTCTGTACAGTAGAAAAACCATTACGCCTATGGGATGTCCCCACTTTTCACAAAAACAAACCTGTGTGTGTGTGTGTGTGTGGTCTTTCCATGGCCTTTGTCTAAGCTCCTCTTCAGTGCTCTGTGTGTTCAGTGAGCAGCTGGCTGGAGCGGACTGGACAACAATCTGTTGAGAGAGAGAGTGGGTGAGAGACATGAGGGCATTGCTGTCCCTTCATGATCCCACCTGCCCATTTGCTTCCAGACTTAAATCCACAACACCTGTCACAGGCTGTTAGCGCGCCACTGCTGTAAATGCTCCATGGTTAAAGGTCACTTCACAACACTGCTTTATTGTCCCACTACCCAAATTGTATTTATACAGAAATAATGGCCAGAAGTACTAAATTATTTTCTTCCACTTAGATGCTGCAGTAGTTCAAATGAAGTATCTATCTATCTATCTATCTATCTATCTATCTATATATATATATATATATATATATATATATATATCTGTCTATCTATCTATCTGTCTGTCTCTGTCTATCTGTTGAGTGTTCTGTCGATCGTTCACTCAATCGTTCAATCAATCAATCATTCAATCATTCTATATCTATATATATTCTAGATTGTTCTGTCGATCTATTGTATCTGTCTATCTATCATAAAGTCTATAAACCTATTAACTTTAAGGCTTTTTTACTTTTTTCTAGACTTTCAAACTTGGCAAACTTTGATTTCTAGTTAGAAGTACAGTCATGTGAATTTCAATTATATTTCATGACATTCAGATTAGAATTGCAATTCTGCATGTGGTTTGCTTTTTAAATGCAAATGGAATTAGAGAGTTGAATTGGAATTTAAAAGACATCCTTGTTTCAGTTCTGAATTGAGTATAACCCTGTTGCTAACTAGTCAACCAACTACTCTCACAGGCTAAATAAGATCCTGACTTGAAATAAACAGCATAATCTATCATCAAAAAAAATCTAACAAAACAAATAACACACCCTCTATCTCTTTGCTGCAGGTGAACATGCTTATTGGAATAGTGGTCTTCAACAAACTCATGTCTAGAGATGGCATCTCAGACAAGTCCAAAAAGCAGAGAGCAGGGTAAGTAAGTGAAGGTCAAAGTGATGGCTATGTGATACCCATCTATTTCTGGATTTGCACCAAGTCACTCATTTACCACTGGCCTGTTGAAGGTTTTAAAATATCCTGTCAAATATTTGTATTGGCGAAGTAAATTACTCATGCTCTCTCTCTCTCTCTCTCTCTCTCTCTCTCTCTCTCTCTCTCTCTCTCTCTCTCTCTCACACACACACACACACACACACACACACACACACACACACATATTTTCACACTCTCTCTCTCTCTCTCTCTCTCTCTCTCTCTCTCTCTCTCTCTCTCTCTCTCTCTCACACACACACACACACACACACACACACACACACACACACACACAACCACTAAAAGTTGAAAAACATCAGACTGAAAGCCAAGATATGACAGCTTCATTACTGGACTTGTATTGATTTGCTGGCCTGCTAACCTCAGGCTAGTCTTCTGATAGCTCTGTCATTAGCTAAGTGTATATTCATTGTTCATGGAACTGCACATACTGACAGGATCAAGGAGCCCTTGTGCTTTTAAAACACTTGTTCTGTTTTGCCTTTGTTTGATTGGACACAAAGCAGAGTGATCCATTAAACACTTGTGTTAATGATTGGACCGCCACATCCCTCACCTCAAACGAAAGGCTAAATCGCATTGAGAGATTGAATATTCCCATTCCGCTCCATGAATCGGCTACCTGGAAACTTCAAGAGGGTTCTCAGAGCCCTCCATCTTTAATTAAACTAACGCCACATCAGAAATCCCAGTTTTTAAGCAAAGATAAGTGCACTACATTGTTTAAAATGAGCTCAGGGCTCAACTGCTGTCAAGCTCATTGTGATGCATGAACGTGTTTTTGCCAGTACTATACTGAAGGCATGAGAACAGCCTTAATGCTCACAATGCAACTGAATTAGTGAATCTAATAGCTACCAATAGCCTCTCTGCATTGTAATCCGAATGTAAGCTGTAAAAATGCCATTTCGATATGTGACATTGCTTTGGTGGACCACCATACCGATGTCTTGACAGGAAACTGTGAGTCTTACTAATTGAATGAGGAGCTAATCAGAGATCTGAGCTAATCCAATGACCGGATATTTGTAATCCCTCCAGGCAAGAGTACATTCTGCAATTTTGCCCTAATTGATTTGTCTTTTTTTCCACTTTTCTTTTCCTGTAATGTTTATTTATAAGGGAGATCAATGCATATTGGGAGCTGCAATGGCTAACTATGGATTTTTCAGCTATTGGCTTTGATATAAAAAGTTCCCAGCGTTTAAATTCAGTCTGACTCATTTCCATATTCACATACTCTCTCATGCGGTCTTTCACATACAATACATATGCAGTTCTGTTTTTAGTTGTAATCATTTTTAGTACAGCAAACATCACTGATTTATCACGCATATTTGTGCTTTAGGAGTTTGCTGTCTGTCCCTAATCCCAAGTGCTCCATTTTGCCACGTAACTCTTTGTGCTGTGTGCATGATACCTCAAAATATGTGACTAATTTAGAGGAGGTGCTACTACTTTTCAAAGCAACCTGACTGCACCTGGCAGGCGATAAAATAGACCCCAAGGAGGGACCCAAGCCATATCTAGAGACTGCAATATCAGATAATTGGAAGTAGGCCAGTAAGCAACCGCATAGCAATGCATTAAAACCACTCAGAAACCTTAGCAACCGCATAGCAATGCCCTAGCAACCACCCTCAACACCCTAGGATCTTAGTGTCTGTTGTTGCACAGGCAAGCATTAGTCATATTTTCTACAGAAAGTATTACTAGGCTATTTTTATTATTGTGGTGGACATATTTCCTAAACAGTTAAATACTAAACTAAATTTAGGATCATGCTTTCAGTGTTTTAAGGTTGTCTGTGTAAAAGGCACACAAGTCCATTGTTGTAATAAGCTGCTCCTGCTCTTCGTTGCTGATCCCGAGTGCCTCTCATTTCCATATTTCTGATGTTCAGAGCACTTTCTCCAAGTCTGTGACATGAGGCTGCCTTTTGTTTCCGTTACAGTTTCAGTCAGCATCTCAGATTACACACTAAATTCAAAGCACTAAAATTCAAACAAAATGCTTTTGTTTTACAATGGCTTAAAGCAGCTGTATGTACAGTAGTTTTGTAGATTTTTTTGGAGCTCCCCCCAGTTAAGTGAGTTGAATTCGCTGTCGTAAATATATCACTCATAATTACAGTGGGTAGCTGTACACATGGATTTTTTTGCTGTCATAAAGCAATCCGATCTTTTTGCAGAAATTTGTACCTGCCCACCGAACTTATTTATTCTCAGAGCAGACATTTGGCAGGAGCGTGGGAAAGCAGAAGCCCAAGCCATTCGCTTGATTAGATGTCAGTATACCGAATGATTTTGAAACTGGTATTTCAAAGTAAAAAACATACAGTTGCTTTAATAATGCACAAACATCAGATTTTTAAAATATATTTTAAAATGTAATCTATTCCTTTGATTTGATTCTTTTTTCATCAGTACTCCAATCTTCAGTGTTATATGGTCCCTCAGAAATCATTCTAATATGCTGATTTGCTGCTCAAGAAACATTTATTATTATCAGTGTTGAAAACAGTTGTGCTGCTTAATGTTTTTGTGTTGCGTTGATGCATATAAATTTCAGGATTCTTTGGTGAATAGAAAGTTCAAAAGAAATAGCATTAATTTGAAATAGATACATTTATTAAATAAATAAATAAATAAAAAACTGAAAATCAGTTGCCCCTTATGTGAAAGTTAATTTCTGATGCTGCTGACACTGGCTTATTGTTCAGTGTTATTTTTTTTTTGTAACAATGTAGTCAATGCACAATCTTAGTCTTGACCTTAAAACAATAATACTTTACCCAGGAAACAAAACTGCATAAACATTTCCTGAGACATCATGATTTTCAGAGAATGTATAAATCTCACTTTATTTATTTATTTATTTATTTATTTATGTTTTCACTTAAAGTGGAAAAATCTCCCAATGGAACAAGACAAAATACATATGTATTCACACATACATAATCCATTTTTCCTAAAAGAAAAGGTATTCACTTTCCTTTACATTTTTAGTGCATTTTACCTTTTACATCCCAGGCTCTTATTTATAAAGACTGAAACGGGGTTCATTAAAAACTGAACTTTGTGGTTAATGACCTGAGGGAGACCAACCTGGACGTGCTGATCTGTTTTCTAACAATGCTTACACAAATCAGGGGGTCACGGGCAGTATCAGATGTGTGTGAATGTGCGTGCGTGTGTGTGTGTGTGTGTGTGTGACAACAGTGAGAGACTATCCTTCTCACTGCAGCAGCTTTTCTATAATACACACACACTTCAGTGAGCAGCTGAAGTAGGTTAGCCTTTGCAGCTCCCATCTGCCTCGTCTGCTGATTGTTAATGATCTGTGGTCGCATTTTACTGTGTTTCTCTCCATTTTCTCATTTTCCTGCCATCATCGTCTCTTTCTGTCTCTCTCTCACACAGACACACGCAAGCTACTTTCACGCTGTGACATTCATTACAGATCTCATTCTGTCGTTGCTGTTGTTCATTGCTTGATGCTGTTTTCTTGGCATTACTTTAATTTTGTCTTTCTCTTTCTTTTTCCTCTCTGTTTTGTGTTCCCTTTCCTTATGTGCGTGTTTTGTCGTCATTTTCCAAATATTCCATTTGTAATTCCCCTCCATTCTACATTCAAACCTTTTACCTTTGTGATGTTTGTGTGTATCGGTATGAATGTGTGTATGGATGGATATTTATGGGTATTTTTTTATTATTATATTACTCCCTACCTCCCTACTTTGTGTCACGTACATTTCTTTCCTGTATGAACATATATATATATATGTGTGTGTGTGTGTGTGTGTGTGTGTGTGTGTATTGGGTCCTGAAGTCCACCATTGGAAGCGCGTAGCAGGCTGCTCCTGAAATGCTCCAAGTGCGGTGTGATCTCCAGTACTGCCCTGTCCAGCTCTGCCGCCAGCAGCGCCATGTTAGTCTCATTCCATATTCTCTCTTTGTCTCTTCTTTCTCTCTCCATATCTTTCTTTTTTTCTCTCTTTCTCTCTCTAGAGCCCAACATTAACAGTAAGAAACAGAAACTCTTCAAAGAGTCGCCCTCCTGTCTGCACACTCCAGAACTACATCATTTTCTTTAATCTTCGCTGAAAAATGCCCTCAAAGAAGATCATTTATGGCATTACAATATTGCAAATCATTGAATAGACATTATAAAAATGGCTTTAGAAGTCGATATATTGTTTATTCGTCAGACATAAGCCTACGGGAACCACAATTCAGTGCAATAAATTTTGCAGTCCAGTCATAAAAGTGTCCAAGACAGACTTAGGGGCCATTCACACAGAACACGTTTCTGCTTTGAAAAATGCAAGACGTGGGTGGTGGAAGGGAGAAAAACACAAGGTCTCGGGAAGTGTAACTTTTTTAAACTTTAGCGTTTTTAGGACACAGCATCATACACGAGACACAGCAAAATACGTGAAACACAGTTATCAAAGATGTCAGTCTAGTGTGTTTACATAGAAAAAATAAAATTTGTCCACTGGAATTGAAAAACCTGTTCTGTGTGAACCAGCCATTAGGGGTCGTTCATTCAGTGCATGTTTTGTTTTGTTTTGTTTTGTTTACATGTGCCAATGGACATCTTTTCACTGCAAAATACTAAAGTATTTTTGTCAAATTTCTTTTAGATATTAAGACTTGTTTCTAGAGAATGTGTCTTTGATACAAGAGTTTTTTTTTCTTATATTAAGTATAAAAAAAAAAGAGACAGAAAACTGCCACTGCAGTAAGACAAAATACACTTACTAAAATACTTAATATCTTTGTGTCGTAAATTTAGTAAATCTTATTTCAAGGATTTTAACTTGAAAATTAAACAAAAATATGTGCAGGATTTTTTTTTTTTTTCGCAATATCTGGCTCTCGCGCTATGCTGAATAACTGTTGTAAAAACACAGAGGTCGTACATCTACCAAATTGCTCTTATGATTGGAAAAACGCATACTTAAATGTTATTTTATAAATATATATTTATTAATAAAATTCATTTAATTGTATTATTTATACAATTACTTTTTTTTATAAAAAAATGTATGTGTTAAATTGACAGCCATATTGAAAACACAAATACATGCACATAAACACAAACAAGGAGGATTGTGCTCTTTGAAGAGGTAAAGAACCAGAGTGTGGATCAGAGTATGGGCCACCTCTGATTCTTTTGGCTTTGGATAAATTGGACTCATCTCTGCTATTTGCTGGAGGGAGTCATGTTAATGAAATGATAATGAATTGAATGATATCGCTTCTCTGTTCCTCATTCTCTTTGTCATTTTTTTTTTCCTCATCCCATCCTTGCTGTCTGCTTTTTCTGCCTCTGCTATCTGAGTATAAATACTGTGTGTGGTGCCATAATACAACTTACATTCATAGAAATGAATGAAGAGGACTTCCTAAAGGAAGTTTGTGAGGACCATGTTCACATGATCCCACCAATCACCTCATTTTATTCGATGTCAGCGTTCCTGCTCCATTCCAACCCCATGCTCTCTCTCCAGTTAGTTAGGGGAGGACATTTAATTTGAGTCATGCTTTTTTACATCTACCAACTCAACCTTTTCTGCATTGTTATTATTTGAGCATGAGAACTCATACTGTAGATTTGCATAGAAGGAAATCTCTTCCTCTGTCTCATTGCTAATGTCCGTCCCATCACAGTCATATGCAGGAGACTGAGTCAGTGCAGCGTGAAGATGTTAAATTGATGCCCAGCTGTGGTGAGCCCTTGCTTGGCTGAGCCCATGTGGACAGTCCTTACTGACACCTGATATTTATCTAAATAGGCTCTGCATGATGCAGAAACAAAACACTCCAGTAGGATTAGCAACATGTTGGAAATTCATCAGGGCATGTTAGCATGAGTGCTCAGCATTATGAAAAGCAATTATTTGCCTGCTTTGCAAACAAACTGAGAGCGTGTCCAAACTGGATTCACTATGCGTGTCTTTTCATTGAATTATAAATTATTATTATAAATTATTACATTATAATTATTATTATTATTAGTATTAAGTAGTAGTAGTCTTTGCATGATTACATGTTGTCATTCCCTTATGAAAATGGACCATGGTAACCATAGTTTCCTACTAAATGAAATAAACAAATTGTAAAAATAAAATAAATTAATACAGAAAATGAAACTTGGAAATTGTCTCTCATAGTTGAGGTATACCTATGATGAAAATGACAGGCCTCTCTCATCTTTTTAAGTGGGAGAACTTGCACAATTGGTGGCTGACTAAATACTTTTTTTCCCCACTGAATGGCTGAATCTTAAAATGCAATATGTTTTAAAAATATTTTTAAAAGTGTTAACATGTTAGCTTGGTATATTAATTTAATATACTATTAATATAATTTAAAACAACAATACATACAACATAAATTGTTGAATTGTATATTATTGATATTATAATTTTATTAATTTCTAGGATGCATTTAATTCATCAAAAGTTCTTGTGAACATTTTTTCTGAAAATAAACAAACAAACAAATAAATACATAAAACGCAAAATCTTAAAAATGGAAATCTGCTACATATGGCGGAAACTTTGGTTGCCGTGATATTTTTTTGTATGGAATTCTAAATTATGCTTTCTCAATACTCCGTATGTTGCATATATAAAATGTAGCAATAACTAGGTCCGGGAGGTTTCTAATTATTACCCCTCTAATGACTCAAGTATAAATTTACGCTGTACTGACACTCAGTGAAATGCCTGTAGTACAGAGCTGGTTTCTAAATCTCATCAACACCATCATAGCTTGACTCTAATCATGATAATATCTTGATGACTAATGATTCCAGGTGCAGTTATGTCACCACCTTACTGTGTGGAGGATCAACTGCATTTTGCTCTGTACTCTCTCTGCACAGGGCATCGTTATGGAGCTCTTGTGTGGTTCTCCCTCTGTTGGCACTCACATGGATGTCAGCTGTGCTAGCCATCACAGACCGCCGATCAACTCTCTTCCAGGTGCTCTTTGCGGTCTTTGATTCAGTCCAGGGATTCGTCATCATCACCGTGCACTGTGCCATGCGCCGAGAGGTCAGTGGGTTACATCTATGATGCAACTGGCAATGATTCAGTTATATGTGTAGAAATTATTATAAAAGTCACAATTATGAATAATAAAGTTAATAAGAAGTCAAAGTGGTTGTTTTGGGTCAGAAATAGTCTTCACTGGGTAACTTGTGCAGAAGGTCACCCACAAGGAAAAAGTAGCCTGCTAACAACATTTATGGGTCATCAGAATATCAGAATTGTATGTATTTATAAAAATATATATATGTTTTATTATTATTATTATTTTGCTTTGTTTTTAATTAACAACCTTGTTGTAACATAAAAGTATATTGGCAGGAAAAATTGCATAAAATATTATTACATTTGCTTTGGAAGGCCTAAATACAAAATGGTTTTTAAAATGTTAACATGTTAAAGGGATAGTTCACTTTCAGTTACTGGTCCTCACTTCAGGTGTTTTTTAGCAAACTCCATGCGGGCTTTCATGTGTCTTGCACTGAGGAGAGGCTTCCGTCGGGCCACTCTGCCATATATATATATATATAAGGCAATGGGGACCAGCAACTGAAGGTGAACTATCCCTTTAACTTAGGATATTAATTTAATATACTATTATTATAATTTACTGATATTTACTGATATTCTGTTTTTCAACAATGCACATCATTTAATTGTATTATTATTTTAACAAAAATAATAGTAGATATATACAGAATTTCTATGATGCATTTAATTAATCAAAAGTAAATATTCTTTTGAACGTTTGAATGGTAGTGTGTGTGTGTGTATGTTTTATTTTTATATATTATAAATTATATGTATTTAAACATAAGCACTATCATTCAAAAGTGATCTGTGTGTGTGTGTGTGTGTGTGTGTGTGTGTGCATATACTACATTCATACTTTCATATTTAGAGATCCCTGGCCTCCGGCATCAAAGAGTTTGATAAACCCTGACTTAGATAACCTCTGTCTTCATCACACTATTATGTGCATGTGATTGGCCATAATAATATAAGAAATAAAAGTTCCACTGTTATACTGCCAGTCTTAGAGGACAGTCAGAGGTGTATTTAAATGGCAATTGGAGGAGGATTTTTATTTGAGTCCATTATTTTAAGGCCCACTTAGGAATTAAACTTGGCTTGGACCGCTGAAGCCGTCAATATTTTGAAATGGCATGCACTCCTTTCACATTATAATGGGTTGGTCTTACCGGCCATAAATTAATCAAATGATGGATCAAACTATAGTCACATTGTAGTGGGTCTGTAGCCAAGATGTGACAGTTTCAACTATCCAGCATGTACTGTGGTAACTTGGCTGACTTACACGTATCGAGTAATTCAAAATATGCTGCTGGAGTTTAAGGAGGGAGAGAAAAAAATCTGTTCTAAATTGCTAAGCCATATATGTTAAATCAATATCGCAAAACCAAAGGATTAGAGTAAAATAAATCCTGGTATTATTTTAGTAAATATATTAAAATCCATGGCGAGACTTTGATGTAATCCCTAATAGCTTTAGCAAAACAAGAGAGTGGAGTTTGTGCACCGGATCCTTGCGCTAGATGCAGTTTGATGTGCAAAGTACACTTTGAAATGGCAGAGCCAATAATGGAAAGGCAGCATTCATGATTAGCACAGGCAAATGAGTGGGGGATGGTTTATGGGAATAGTTTGTTCTCATGTATTTTTGAAGATAGAGAGAGCCTAGAAAGCATGCCATCGGGTGTCATTCTGATACGTCTACAGCTTTGACTCAGCAGACAGTCATCCATAAACAAGCTCTGAGAATGAGACCATCTCCCGCTCTGTCTTGCGAAACAGCCTAGTGTTCCTGCACATCGTAATTTTAGTTGCGGGGAGGAGAGCAGACTGATTACAGATTCTGGTCTAGGCCGGTGAATAGTGTTGCAGCATAATAACTCATGCTCAGTTGAATAGAAAGAGAAGGAATTTACTAAACAGTGCAGAGAATGTGCAGTCAATAAATAAAGTGTTTCAACAGCATATGCTTGATGCTATTCGGAGGACGCCAGTAGATTAAAGTGTCATTTGTTCAACGTGTAACCTTTGCAAACCATAAAAGTCGTGGCAGATCAACCACTTGGGATATGTACAACATGTTGTAGAATTAACATGTCTCATATGTTCTTTTTTGGCAACAAGAGCTCTGATCTTCCCAGTTAGGAAACACTGTGGTTTCACTTGGTCATTATGTAGGCATTTTGGCCATAAATCTGTATGCAAATGAGTGCCGTCCCATTGCTAAGACTACACTGTCATCAGGGGAAACAGCCTATCACACTTCTTTTTTTTTTCTTTTTTTTTGTATTATTATTATTAAAGGGAGTGTCTTCCTCCCTATTGTTGTAGAGCCTTTACATTCTGCAGTTATGTAAACTCCTGCGGAAATGCAAACAGGCTCACTGCAATGTTTGTCACTCAGGAATATAAACTAATATCAATGTTTTATGAGAAGTCACATACAGATGCCCTCTGTAGATTACTAAAATAACTAGATTAAACCAATAGATTCTCCTGAGTATATAGAAGCTGCTAGTGTCTTTAGGATATTTACTACTATCGTTAGTTTCATGTTAGCATCAACACAGGATGGTGGGAAGATATTCACCCCTCCTATGCATTTTTTTAATAATGTCTTAAGAATCACTGACAGTCTACTTGTTATAAAGTGATTGAGTATGTATTGACATTTTTCAGAAACTGAGAGAGGATGACAGCCCTAACATTAGTGATTGACACCTGCAAAGCACACGCTTGACGGGACAACTGTCAACTGTGGTTCCATTCATGTAGTACATACTAACCAAACTCACTTTCAAAATTCAGTTGTGACTCCTGAAATTTTAAGGGGTAGCTATTGTTATAGAATATGGTTGACACTCCCTTTCATACCTGAACTGTGTATGAACACAAGCAGGACTGACCACCTTATTCTGCTGCTGTATGCACAGTCCTAGAGAGATTTGAAATTATGATGTTTTCCTATTTGTTTGGTTGCCTTCTTGTTTTATATTACTATTTAATGGTTTTAAATTTAAATGAATGTCTCTGTGAGTCACCCTGGCTGTATCCCTTGTCTTCCCTCAGGTGCAGGATGCTGTGCGCTGCAGGATGGGTGGTTGCAAAGATGACAGTGAAAACTCTCCGGACTCCTGCAAGAATGGCCAGGTGCAGATCATGGTGAATAGCATTCCATTCCATCTCATCTCACATGGGACTCTCAGAGGGTTGGCTTCACCTTTTTTAAACATCACAGAATACTGGGTTATTGTGTTTCAAATCAGATTTGTTTTGTAAATTGAAGCAGGTGGCTTACTGTATGTGAATGGTTATTCTGGAGAAGGTTGCTGATTAAAATCCTGGTCAGCTCCCATCTGTGTCCTGTTTCCTTTAGGAAAGCCCTTTTGTGCAATTTCTAGTATTTAGATCAAAGTTATATAATCTTTGTTAAATTAGAGACTTAAAGGATTAGTTCACTCCAGAATTAAAATTTCCTGATAAATTACTCACCCCCATGTCATCCAAGATCAAAAAGTCAAAGAAAGTCAAAAAGAAATTAAGGTTTTGGAGGAAAGTATTCCAGGATTTTTCTCCATATAGTGGACTCCATATAGTGAAGGTCCAAATTGCAGTTTCAGTGCAGCTTCAAAGAGCTCTACACAATCCCAGCCGAGGAATAAGGGTCTTATCTGGAGAAATGATCTGTCATTTTCTAAAAATATATAAAAATTTTATACTTTTTAACCACAATTGCTCGTCTTGCACTAGGTCTGCGATGTGCATTCACAACTTCACACATAACATAGTCATGTTGGAAAGGTCACGTGTGATGTAGGCAGAAGTACCTACACTGGTTCATAAAGGTAGGGTCGGGCGAAAATCTAATTTTCACCTCCAACTTCACAATCATCTGACGTTGTTTTACCTTTTTTTGTAAAGGGCGTTTGACTTAGTCTTTACACGTTCACTTTGTAAACACTGGGTCGGTACTTCCGCCTACGTCACTTTCCAACGTGATTGAGTAATGTGTGAAGTTGAGCTAGTGCAAGATGAGCATTTGTGGTTAAAAAGTGTATATATATATTTTTATTTTTTTTTAGAAAATGACCGATAGTTTCGACCCTTAGTCCTCGGCCGGGATTGTGTAGAGCCCTTTGAAGCTGCATTGAACCTGCAATTTGGACCTTCAACCCGTTGGTTCCCATTGAAGTCCTCTATATGGAGAAAAATCCTGAAATGTTTTCCTCCAAAACCTTCAATTCTTTCGACTGAAGAAAGAAAGAAAGACAGGAACATCTTGGATGACATGGGGGTGAGTAAATTATCTGGAAATTTTAATTCTGGAATGAACTAATCCTTTAAAATCAGAAGCTTTTTGAATAGCTTTGCTCGTATTGAAATGTTTTTGAAAGGTCAACTAGTTATGAATATTAGTTATAATTACCAGTAATTATATCCAATACGAGAAAGCAATCAAGAATGTCAGTAACATACTTAGCACTTGTAACCTTATGGGGTATTTTCATGCAGTTTTTAAGCCCTTTACCCAGGGCCTTGCAGTGATTTGTTCATGTAAAGGACTAGACTTGCATGTAACCATGGTAACTGCAGCAGGAACTCTCCAAGTGTGTGTGTGGATCTGTTTGGATGAGAGGGATCACTGCCTCTGCAGGTCTGCTCCACCTTTCCGCTTCCTCTCTTCAACTCACCCCTCATTTTTTCTCTCTTCCTACCTTTCTCTCCGTTCTGCCTCTTTGCCGGCAGAGGTGCCCGCACCGGCCCAGCCTCTACAGTCAGGAGCAGTGCGGCTCTCTCCGATATTCACCTGGGTGCTGCCAAGGCTGCCACCAAACCTGCCCCGCCCACCCTCCTCTAGCCTTGGCCAATCACAGTCATGGACATAGCCATAACCACACCCACATTCTTCACCAGAACCACACTCAGACTCTAAACCACACCCACCTTCTCAATCACAACCATGCCCACAGCCTCAACGACAACCATGTCCATACTCTCAACCACACCCTCGACAAGAACCACACCCACGCCCTGAGCCACAACCACTTTCATACGCTTAACCACAACCATGCCCACGTTCTCCACCAGACGCAGAACCTTGTATTGGAGCAAAACCACATCACTGTACGTCTCTGAAATGAGCTTGATTGCATGTGTTTGTATTAGAGTTAGTGCTGTCAATTTTAGAGTCGAGCTGACAGCGTAGCGTGAGCATATTAGCCAGCTAATTAGATAAGTGGTTAGCTGTCAGCAAGTTATTTAGTGCAAAGTAACTGCTTAGTTTCCATGGCTGTGCAATAAAAGTTTTGCATAGTCGCAGGTCTCTTTTCCTTTTTAACTTTAACATGCAGGTATACGCATACATACAAGTTGCTCTCGCTAGGGCATGCTAAAATTGTTCCACAGTGTAATGCCCTGACTAAAGCTTTGTTTTGAACTCCTTTGAGAGTCAATTCTTTTGGCAGCAATAGCCAACGCTGCATTCTAATGAGGGCCCGGAGTTAAAAAGAGCTGCTCTGGGACGGACATTTTTGGTTTACCCTGAGGGATGCAGTCAGTTTGTGTCCATTGTATTGTATCTTTTTTTAAGAGTCCTCCTCTTTTTTCATAAAAATAATATCCATTTTATTTGTTTGGAAAGTCAAGCCCAGCTGTGTCAGACAGCGGTATGCTAATTTATGTTCACTTTGGTTCATTGTAATTAGTACTGGTGCTAAAGAATCTGCTATTTATTGTTGCAGATGTGTTGCATTAGACTAGTACTTTGTCGAAACACAGCATGGTGATTGCTAAAATTAATTTTTTTTTTCTTTTTGATGGACTCTTTAACCACCACATACTGCCTATAACAGTGCTTAGCTCCACCCTTCATCATACACAAGCAGGATTGGGGAGTAACGGAATACATGTAAAGGCGTTACGTAATCAGGATACGAAATACTAGTAACTGTAATCCGTTACAGTTACATCAAAAAACAATGTATTCAGATTACAGTTACATTTTGTAAAAAGTGGGAATACTATAAGGATTACATTTATTTAATTTAAAATTAAATAAATGAGTATTTTGACATAACGCTTTATATTTAGCGCTGCTTCATCATAGTTCCTGGTAGAGCCCTGCACAGGCCTCAAATATAGGCCCTAGCCCATTCCGTGTCCAGCAGCTTATCAGACTTACCGGCCCGAGCCCGTCTTTTTCCCCCTTCTCCCAAAACATCTTATACTACTGTTTCAACTATTTAAATAGTTCAGTTTTGTATGTAATGGCAAAGTGATTATATTTCGTTTCGTTTTTTTATTAAGTTAATTTAGAAAAACGTTTGGAGCATTTTTTTTGTTCGTTACAAGTTTTAGTTTTTTTAAAGTAACGACCAAGCGGCCAGCGGCAGACAGTAAGCTGATCATAGCCAATGTTTGATCAATTTAGCCTTCTCAAATCATCACGACTTGCCTAAAATAAAATCTATAGATATAAAACAGTTCAAGCATATAACAATGTTTAAACATTAAATCTAGATAAATGTGCGCTATATCCAATAGTTTGTGCGGAGAGTGCAAGCTAAAGCGCGCTTTGCAGAACATGGAGGCGCCAGCACGCTCACTTGCATTTTTTTTCAGTGGATAGCCTACGCCGTTATTTTTGCTCATAAAGGTAAGAGTAATACATCATTCATAACTGTAAAGGGTTTACTTTTATTTGTGTGCATTCACAATATAAACAAAACGTTGTGCTTTTATAAAATAAAGAATATAAACATGATGCGCTTTATGCCGTCTCGTCTTGAACAGGAGCGCTTCACAAAAATTAACCGAAACTCAGTGAATAGATGCCTCACAGGCATGATAAATATATCTATAGAAAGCTTTAAATTACTACTTAACAAAATAAAACAAATCGAAAACAAAAACTCTTTCATTATAATCATAATCCGTAAAGATGCACTTCTCTCTAAAGGCGTTTCTAATGAGGAGATGGCGAGTCAGGATCGACAACTTCATCCTTGCGACACCGACTCAAAAAACACTAGTTTATTAGTAAATAATTCACATATCTCCTTAATATTTCTCCCAGACACATTCATGATAATTACTTTTGCTGGGGCTTTGCCGGCAAGCTTTAGCCTTGCGTGCATTTGAACGCAGATCTCTACAGCTGCGCTGACTGCACGCAGCATTTGCTGCTGCTGGACACTAAACACGTCAAGCCGCTCTTGACAGTCGCACGTTTTGTTTCCACCAGCACAGCAATTTTTTTTCATCACTAATTGATAGATATCTAAAATATAAAAATAAGGAGAAGCCTAAAACAGGCCCGAGGCCCAGTTCACGTCTAAACTATGACGTGAAAATTGGCCCGAAGCCCAGCCCTAGGGGCATAAAAAAGTCATGGACTTATTTACATATGTAACTTGAAGTAATCTAAAAGTAATCAGATTACATTACTTTTATATTGTGGTACCTGGATTACGTTACTGAATACTTTTTTAATGAAGTAATTTGTAACTGTAACGGAATACATTTTAAAAGTAACCCTCCCAACCCTGTACACAATTTGTATGACCCAAATGTAAACTATCAAGAATTGGTCTCTATATATTTAGTTCACTTGTGGACAGCCTGCCATTTGTAACAAGCTGAAGTAATCTCTTCTCTATCCTTCATTCACCTACACAGACGGACTTTGAGAAAGACGTGGATTTGGCGTGTCAAACAGGTAAATTCTTCTGGGACCTCCATTTTGCCTTTCACTACTGCTGTCCTAGATCTTTGCTCTCTCATTCTTGCACTTTCCTTGCCATGTTTTCACTTATTTGCCCTGGTTCTAATGCAGTTTGTTTAGTAAAACTTGTTCATATAAAGTTAAACCTGCACATCATTGTCTCCCCCTCACTTGCAGAAAGAGGACACCCATGTAAGTCTCACTCTAAAGTTAGAACATTCCTGTTTGTGTCATTTGTGTTAGACCATAGAATTTTGTTGTTTTGCATAAACTGACATACAAAATGTGCATGTTCACTCTTTTATTGTCATATCCTTATTATTTGCCATACTAGGGCCTTAATTTTAACTTGGAATATTCAGTTCCAAGAACTGTAATGGGCTGGTTTACTTTTAACTAGGGCTGTCAGTCTATTAAAATGTTTAATCTAATTAAAGGGTTACTCCACCCCAAAATAAATTTTTTGTCATTAATCACTTACCCCCATGTCGTTCCAAACCTGTAAAAGCTTTGTTCATCTTCGGAACACAATTTAAGATATTTTGGGAAGACGAACGAAGCTTTTACAGGTTTGGAACGACATGGGGGGTAAGTGATGAATGACAAAATTTTCATTTTGGGGTGGAGTAACCCTTTAATTACATGATGTGTTGATTAATTAATCTAATTAATCATACATTAAATTTGGCTGTGAAAATACCCACAAAAGATAATTTAAAGTTATGATTGTGTTAAATGAGGAAGTATCAATTAGACATTACAAAGAGTAGCTTTAGAAATAAATATTTTTATTTGATTCAACATAAAATGTATTACAGATAAATGTTTAGCCTACAGTGGCCTAACATAAACAATGGAGCATAAAAGAAGATACTTTGAGAAACATATCTGTATTTTTTATTCATGCAATGAAACAGCTTTGTTACGAACAGTCTTCAAAATACCTTATTTTATGTTACGCAAAAGAAAGTCATACAGGTTTGAAATGACATGAGGGTGAGTAAATGAGGACATGATTTAAATTTTGTGGTGAACTATCCGTTTAAGGTTTTTTAAAATTAAATTATACTCTAAATAAGAAACTAAAGCTGCCAGCAGGTGGCGTTAAATGTCTTTATGAGTCATTCATTCATTCTCTCTATCAATGGGCCTTTGAATCATTGGTTCACCCGATTCGTTCAAAACGCGGATTCATTCAGAAACTAAACACTGCTCGGAGTGCTGCTCGGAGACGCACAACAATATATGGCCTTATAGGTAATATTTTCGTTGGAAAAAGTGAGCAAAAACAGACAATATTGTGTTTAAAATATAACACAATATTAAATTCTTATTTAATGAACTGTTGTATAAAATCACATTTAAACTCCTGATATTCGGGACAAAAACAGCACTCATGTGATATTGCTCTCGCTGCTCATGTGATATTGCTTATCATATGATATAAATATGAGACAAAAACTCATACAGGGGTATTTTTGCCCCAATAGCTTGTATTTTAGGGCATAACTGCATTTATGGTGTCGTTGCCCTGCATCATGTTTGTCAACAGTCAGGTCTGGGGGCGTTAATGGCATCTAAATATTTTAATCGCATTATTTTTTCATAACTAACTAATTAATTAACTCGTTAAACTGACACCCCTAGTTTTAACACTAAATCAGCTTGATAGTGTTTCTAGTTTCACCTCATAAAGAAAAAGTATGTGGTGCAGCGTTGGCATTTCAGGTTTATTCAAGTCCAGACTTATCTTGGTCTGTAACCTCAACATTATTGGAGTAGAAACAAATATGTTGATCAGTTTTGTAGAATAGAAACTACCATTGCTGTAATATTGACCTTATAAAATTAAAAATAAGACAAAATCAAGAAAAGTTATATTTTTGTTTCTTTTAGAAGTACATTATTTTAGATAAATGCAGTTGCTCCTTATTCATATTTTTCCTTTTACCTTTTGGAGTTATGTTGGCTGTGTGACCTTATTAATTATGTATGAAATGGTTAGGCCATTATGGCTGATGTTTTTTTTCTCTTAGAGGAGCTGATTTGTGCATGGCTTTCCTTCCTAACCCTACCTAATTCAAGTGAACTCCTACTGTAACACCTCTGGGGCACCAACTTTTGCAACCGTCCAACTTATGCATGCCAGGACTCCTGGATACTAATTCCCCTGCCTGAAAATGTTTGTCCTTTCCTGCCCTTCACTGCCTTACCTTTACCTGCTCTGTTGACCTCTGCACTGATAAACTCCATTTCCATGCACTGTAACTGAGCTCATTTTCTTTTGTCTTTTTTCCCATCATTCCCTCTACCGATCACATTCTCTCTGCACCCTCTCAAATCAATCTTGCTTACTCTGTTACCGCTTCAACCTCTCTCCAAAACATCTGGGCTCTATACCTTTGGGAACTGCTGTGTAACCATCTTCCATCCCACCCCTTTCCTTTTCTGTCATGTGTTGTTTCACCATCCAACTTTGTTATAATCGGTTTCTCTCTCTGCTCTTTGCCACTCCATCCATCTGTGGGGTCTTGTGCACTCGACCTCTGCTTCCTTCTCTTTCTTCCTCCCCACTTCTGTCTATCTGTTCTCTTTCTCTCTTCCTCTCTCCTTCCAACCTCAGTCATCTTTAAGGAGGTAAACACCTGTAACCCTGCTACCATAACTGGCACTCTATCCCGCATCTCTCTGGACGACGAGGATGACCCCAAATTGGCGGCTCATCAGGAAGGCGTTAATTTCAGCAGCCTGCCTGGGAACATCCCACCCCCTAACCTCCTGGTGCAGGTACCTCCTTTGGGTCCCCTGAATGAGCTAAGCGAGCAGCCACTAAAGAAGGAGGTTAATGTGGAGCAGCAAGGTCAGCATCAACAATCTGGACCCATCTACCTGTGCACCGAGAGTGGGCTGGGTTGGGCCCGACCAAACCCTTCTTCCACCCAGGATTCAGCTGGTGGCAGAGGTGGGGAAGGGGACTACATGGTGTTGCCTCGTCGGACAGTCAGTCTCAAGCCCCCTCCTCCAGCCCAGGATGAGGGGAAGCCCCTGAACATTACAATGGATGACCCTCCCTTTCCTCCACCCCCTTCACCCTTGACTCTGCATCCAGCAGAGAGTGAGGCATACCCTGCAGACTTTACAGCTGTGGACCATATCAGCATGAACCTAAACCGCTCCTACAGCATGCTCAAACAGTTGCCGGCCTACACTGGGCACACGCACTCCCACACCAACACCCACACCCTACAGGTCAAGCAGAATCGTCCCTCTGTCCGGCAGATCCTCACCTCGGGAACAGTGGAGCGCACCAGAACCCTTCCCCGTAACCTGGGCAGCACCAACACCAGCCACTCGGCTGGATCTTTGGAAGTAAGTAGGGGTTAAAGAAGGGGTTCATTCTTTCACAATCTACAACCATCACTACCGAATGAGCCAGGGTATTTTGGAAACCACCTGCGGTTTGCAGTTTTGGCATACAACATAGCAGCACAATAGTGTTGTAATCTTTTAGCATTCTTGCCAAAAACAGGGAACTGGGGACCACATAGCATAAAGAATCATTATAGCAGGAAAATGTAAATTAGATCTGCATAAAACATCACCAATATGAAACCAAACATGAATGCAGTGATTGCAAACACGACAATCCAAACACACAAACTGTACATTCCTACCTAGCAACAGACAAATTATCACTAGTTCCCTATCGATACTTCACTCGTACTGCGTCTGTTTAAGACACTTGGGGAAAACTCCTTTTTCTCCGATGACTGAAACCTTTCAATAACGCAGTGTAACTGCACGGCCATTAGTTCGTGCAGTGAATAAAAAACGAAAAAAATCATCAGCGGAGCTGCACGAGCCTATGGTGGTAAAGCCCGCCAGAATGGGCGGGGTCATCTGGCTATATAAGCAGCACATTGCTATAGGATCCTCAAATTATTCTCCTTCAGCGACGACTGCTAGATCTTTGCTCTACGAGACTACAAAGCCTTCGCCGTGATCAAGCCTCGCAGCGGATCGAGAGACCCCTTCCTGCTCGGCCATTCTCGCCTCTTCACGGTCTCCGGTTCCCTGCCGCTCTCTGGCGATATAAAAGAGCAAATTTCAGAGCAAATTTTCAGCGTTGTTTCAAATGCCTCTCTGCACTCGCGGAAAGCTTTCTTTTCAGAGAGCAACTCAGCCCCTCCGCCCTCCTGCTTTCTTCCTCCCAGGAGCCTGTGAGGAAAAAGCAGTGGGGCAGAGGAACTCGGCGCTCGGTGACGAGTGAGCCCATTGCGGCTGAGCCCCGCGTGCCTCAATCTCTTCGCTCAGAGAAGTTTCTCCAGTCCACTTATCCCTCCCAGACCAACGTCCCTCTGCGGCTGCGGGCAATCTGGTCTTATTTGGAGGAAGCGAGTGTGACACCATGGACGACAGCATGTCGTTGGAGGCTTCAGATGCGGAGAAGCTGTTGGGCTCGTACATCGACCCCACCCCCTTGCCATCTGCACAACCCAGCACAGCCAGCACGGGCACGAGCTTTTCCACATCCTGTCTAAAGCTGTGGAGGAGCTGGATTTGGAGTGGTCTCCGCCGGAGGAGCCCACCCGCAGCCGCCTGGATGAGTGGTTCTGGCCGGGGCACAGTCAGGCCCCCCGACAACGAGCTTCACCATTCTTTCTGGAGGTCCACGACGAGATCACCAGGTCTTGGCATGCCCCCTACTCGGCCCGCCTTCGTGCCTCATCTTCGTCCGCCCTCACATCAGTCGATGTCACCGAAGAAAAAGGTTGCGACAGACTGCCTCCCCTGGATGAGTCAGTGGCCGCGCATCTCTGCCCGCCCACGGCCATCGGCTGGAAGGCAAAGGCAGCCTACCCATCCAAGCTGTGTAGGGCGAATTCGGCTCTCGCCGGGCGACCCTACTCGTCTGCTGGACAAGTGGCCTCAGTGCTTCATTCTATGGTGGTCTTACAAGTCTTCCAGGCCAAGCTCCTCTGTTGCATGGACGAGTCCGGCCCAGACCCCGCAGCTTTTAAGGAGCTGCGCAGTGCGACCGACCTGGCTCTACACACCACCAAGATGACAGCGCAGGCGATTGACAGATCCATGGCCAGCCTAGTGGTGCTGGAGCGCCATCTATGGCTAAATCTGACAGAGATCAAGGATGCGGATAAGCTCCCCTTCCTCGACTCCTCGGTTTCCCCTACTGGCCTGTGTGGACCTGCAGTTGAAGGCTTCACTGAATGCTTTACTGCTGCACAGAAGTAGTCTCAAGCAATGCGACACTTCCTGCTTCCAGTCACCCCAAAAATGTGCCGACTCAGCACCCCGTGCCACCAATTGCTCCCATGGCTCCTAAGCCCGAGCCTCACCAGTGCTCCCGCTCGGCCAGACGCCACCAGTTTCCTAAACGCCAGGTCCCCTGACCCTAGATAGCGTTGGACCCTGCGCCTCAGGTGTCATCCTGATCTGTGAGACAGGAAGAGGAGGGGGCCAAGTCTCGCTGCAGCCGGACCACCCCCCAAAACGCCTCTGTTATGCCTCCAGGTTCCGGGTGCCGATGGCAGTGTGTTTGTGACCAAAAATACTGTTGTGAACATGGGGCCCGTTCTAATCACATCCACACAACTGGCCATTCAGCAGCTCGCGGCCTCATTCAGAGTTGGAGCCTCTCGCCCCCTCAATGTGTTTCAGAGGATGCTAGGCCTCATGACCTCAGTGTCTCCTGTACTACAGTTAGGCCTGCTCCACATGCGGCCCCTTCAGTATTGGCTGAAACCACGAGTTCCATCCCGCACCTGACGTCTGGAACGCCTTCCAGAACACCTGTCCAGAACGACGTCTGGAACGCCTGTGTACCAGCCCTGGCCCCTTGGAAAGATCCTCGTTGGATGGAACGGGGCGTGCCCCGGGGAATGGTCTGCAGAAGGAAGGTAGTCTCGACAGACGCCTCCAACACAGGTTGGGGAGCGCGGTGCGATGGCAAGCCAGCTTTCGGCCACTGGTCGAAAGAGGAAGGCCAGCTTCACATCAACTGCCTGGAAATGCTGGCAGTGTGTCTTGGCCTTTGAACCTTTCTGCCAGACCTAAGGGGACACCACGTCTTATTCCTCTCGGACAGCATGGTAGTGTCCTATATATATATCGCCAGGGTGGTCTCTCTTTGAAGCGCCTCTTCGCACTAGTGGAGAGCCTCTTGGAATGGGCTCAGCTCAACTTGCACTCGCTGAGAGCAGTGCATATACCGGGCAGGCTGAACCAAGGAGCAGACATGCAGTCTCGGAGCTATGTCCCCTCGGAGGAGTGAACGCTCCACTCTCAAATGGTTCAGAAAATCTGGGAGATCTTCGGCAGGGCAGAGGTCGATCTCTTCACCTCAGAAGACAACTCTCATTGCCCAACTCACTTTTCAAAGGACAGGGACGCATTGGCCCACAACTGGCCCAACCCCCTCCTTTACGCTTTTCCCCTGATTGCTCTGATCCCACTGGTGATCAGGCGAGTCAGGGAATAGAGACGCAAGGTTCTGTTGGTGGCCCCTCTCTGGAGGAACCAGAACTGGTTTGCAGAGCTGTGCCGGCTGCTCTCGGCAGCCCCGTGGCCCATTCCCCTGAGACGGGATCTCCTCTTTTAAGTGAACGGAACAATATGGCACCTCCAGCCTGAGCTGTGTGCTCTGCACCTTTGGCCTCTCGATGGGAGCTTGCGAACCTCCCAGAGAACGTGCTAAACGCAATCTCTCAAGCTAGAGCACCGTCTACAAGATGCCTCTACGCCCTTAAATGGTCTGTCTTCTCCGCCTGGTGTACAGCCCGTGGCGCAGACCCAATCTCATGTGACATATCTCTGATATTGTTCTTCCTGCAAGAGCTGTTGGATAAGGGCCGTTACCCTTCCAAGCTCAAGGTCTATGTAGCAGCCATAGCAGCTTCTCACGCTCCTATAGCTGGCCAATCGGTGGGCAGGAACAACTTGGTTGTTGATTTTCTGAAGTGTTCTAGAAGGCTCAACCCGCCTCGCCCCATCACTGTCCCTACATGGGATCTGCCCACGGTGATGAGGGCTCTGAAGAGCCCTCCTTTTGAGCCACTACAGTCCATTGACCTTTGTCCCCTGACGCTTAAGACTGCTCTGCTTCTAGCATTAGCATCGGTAAAGCGTATGGGAGATCTGCATGCGCTATCAGTGAGCCCCACCTGCCTCGAATTCGGGCCCAATGACTCTAAGGTCGTCCTGAAACCAAGGCATGGTTATGTAAAGTGTCCATTGCAGAAATTTGTGCGGTGGCCGGCTGGGCCTCGCCGTCCACATTTGCCAGATTCTATAGTCTGGACATCCTGGCCCTACAGGCGTGGGTCCTTTCTGCATAGCAGGGCACTCTGTCATATGACAACCAGTGCTTGGGGTTTGCCTCCTTCATGTACGTTCTTGGCCCTCAGTGAGTTCCGAGGCTGTACTGAATTATTTCGGGATGATGATACAAGGCTGGGCCGACCTCTCTGAGTTTAGCCCTTCTGCCTTTTGCGGGGCTTCCCTGCAAAATACTTGGTCCCTCTGGGCCCCCTTGGGTGCATAAGGCAAGTTCAAGTATTAGTCATTCCTCTAGTATAGCATGGCGGGATTGTACTGGTTGCCCAAGCGTCTTAAACAGACGCAGTACGAGTGATGTATCGATAGGGAACATACTCGGTTACTAACGTAACCTTGGTTCCCTGACACACGGAACGAGTACTGCATACTTTGCCGTGCTATGTAGCTGCACGACTCAGTCGTCGCTTCAGTCGAAGTAACCTGAGGATCCTATGGCGATGTGCCGCTTATATAGGCAGATGACCCCACCCATTCTGGCGGCCTTTGGCGGGCTTTACCGCCATAGGCTCGTGCAGCTCCGCTGCTGACCCATTGGTTCGTTTTTTTATTCACTGCACGAACCAATGGCCGTGCAGTTACACTGCATTATTGAAAGGCTTCAGTCATCGGAGAAAAAGGAGTTTTCCCCAAGCATCTTAAACAGACGTAGTACTCGTTCCATGTCTCAGGGAACCAAGGTTACGTTAGTAAACGAGTACGTTCTCTCAAAAATGAAAATTGTCATCATTTACATGTCATTCCCAACATGTATGGCTTTCTTCTGTGAAACACAAAAGAGTATAGTTTGAAGGGGTTTTTTTTAAGTCAGTGGGGTCCAAAACAACACTAGACCCCATTTTCTTTCCAAAATATCCTCTTTTGTGTTCAGCAGAAGAACACGAGTTAGGTTTGGAATGACATGAGGGTGAATACTTTTAAGGTGTTGTTACAGGAGAGCAATACCGAGGCTGAATTATCTTATTAGTAATGTCTCCTTTCATTTCGGGGCCGGATGACACCACATCATCTGTAGTCCCTGAGACACCATACATGCTGATCATCTAGCAACTCTCTCATCAGTCCGTCACAGGAATGCATTCAGGTGTGCTTTCTATACCCAGAGTCCCCTGTCAACATGATGTTACACAACTTAGTGACTGCATCGGTGTGTGTGTCGTGTGTGTGCAGATGCTCTTCTCTCTATAATTACACTACAGCCCCACAAGGAGAAACAGCAGATGGTGAGAGAGAAACAGCCAGAGGAAGTGCCTGAGAGAGCCTGCACTCCTTCATTAACGGACAAAAAACCTTCCCTCTCTGTCTACTACACATAGTTCTTGGGGCTGGGGCATGAATTTCTAACTAAAGTCAGTTGTCAAGCGTAAAGTCAACATAAAATGTATAAGCCCTTTTTTTTTCTTTAAAAAAGTACTGTTCTTCATCAAAATGTAAGAATTAAAAAAAAAAACTTTTATTATTACTATGAAAATAAACACTTTTTCCCCCCAGCTCACCTTACCAATCAAAATAAGGTATGAAACTGCAAATGGTCAAAGAGTGGAGGTTCTTAAGCTTGATTTTAGGAGGTCAAACAAAATATTTAAACTTTTTTTTTCTTCACAAAAAATTTATAAAATACAATATACTACTACTACTACTAATACACCAGAGCAGTGATAATTAAGACAAGTTAAAATCTTCCATATATTAATCTTTTGTTTATAAGGCCTAGTTAGTTTGGGACCAAATGCTAATTGATCTTGTGTTTCCCTTAATTGAAGAAAATTATTTGTTTGGTCATGTTCTTCCTGACATTTTTCATCCTTGAAGACTTCATTCACTCTGAAATGAATCATATTATGGAAGCAAAATATTAATTTCATGTTGACTTAAAAAAGTTATTTAATGCTTTGACAGCTGACCACCTATAAAATACACTAAATGTTTCTCATATATTCTCCATCTCTATCTTGTCTCACACACTTACTCGTAAGTGCCTCTACACCTAAAATTCTGCTGCAGGTTGTCAGAGTTTATACCATTTTGTATATTACTTTCACATCAATCATCAAGCTGGAAAGGCTGCATTTTGCCCGTTTTTAAACTTCACTTTTCTTTAAAAAAACTTACTGACTTAAGTCGTAAGGTTGGACTACTCTGGGAAAAGTACCTAGGTATTGATATTTTATTGGGCTTGAACACTGGTGGGGTCTGTAGTGCTTTGGCTTCCTCTCACCTAACTCACCCAGTGACACCTGAAGTAACTTTGTCAACTAACTTCTCACTTTAAACAAGGTACACAATGTGAGTCTCATCCTCCCTTTGTGAGTGGCATAGAAGCATTGGCCCAGGTCTTGACTGGTTTGTGTTCTGTGAGTTTGAGCTTGTGACAAATTGCCATAAACAATGTGTACAGACACTATTGGTTAACTGTATTTGCATCTCTTATGTGATATCTAAAGCCTCAATTACGTAAATGGAAATATTCTGCTTTTCAGATTGATTTACAGGGTGCACAGAAGTGCATATATGACACTTGATGGACACTAAATACAATACAAAGCTACAGTACCAGAGTCCAAAATTAATACTCAAAAGTGTCAAATGCCTTTGCCGTGAAACATATAGGCCGGCTTGGTTTAAGAATGATGCCAATTTCTGAGCCATTCAATTTTAAATGTAAATAGTCTACTAATGAAAACTTTTGTCATAATTCAAATGTATGTCCTCAGACTTTATATATATATGTAAAGTTTATATATTACATAATTAATATATTAGATTATACGTTTTTATATTTTTCTACAGAACTCCATGTAGCAATATTATATGTGTCCTATATTTTAATCCATTAAAATATGTGGGAAAAAATCCTCACCACAGTAGGTCTTCACATTCTTGTGACAGTTGTCATGTCACTGAGAGACACAGATTGGCTCATCCTGTATGTGTTGCTATGAGTGACATAATGACCTACGCTGTTCGGTCATTAGTGTGCTTGGAAAAGGTAGCTAAGTAATCCCATTTTCCAAAGAAATACAGTATATATATATATATATATATATATATATATATATATATATATATATATATATATATATATAATATTCTTAAAGGATACATTTGCGATTTTCAATCAGCTTTGTACTGCTTCAATTTAATGGGGAAAATAAACTAGGTGCAGGTAACATGGTGACACATTTTGCGTTTACGTACACTACAGACATTGTAACATTATAAAACTGGTTGAAAATCTGTGAAGTTCTTTAATAAAAAAATAATGAAAGTACAATTTCCTGGGTTGGTTTTCTCAACTGACTCGCCAAGTGGGGCATTAAGTTAAATTTAGACCATGTACATTACTATGCAAAGTGCAGCATGCAGAGCTACAAACAACATTTGTTAGAACTAAGCAAGTTTCTACTGAGCAAGTGGTTTTTGGTGTTTACAGAAGATTAGAGATGTTTACAGACTGAGACATTTATGAAATATTATGCCATTTTCTAAACATACAACTGCTTCTGATGTTTACATTATATGCAGACACATTTATTTAATTATATTTATTTGTTTATTTAAATTAAAGGTTAATATAATCATCACATATGCTGTTTTATGGAGGAAATTCCTATCCACAAACCTATCCAACCAGTGGCCCAATGCGGCCTGTTTGACATTTTCAGTGGCCCACAGTTAAATAGCCTAAAATTATGTATTTTAATATATTAGATGTAACAAATTTTAGAACATGACAAGTACACATCTCCAAAAATTCTTTCTTTATTACTTTTTTTTTCATGGATATTTTTATTTACGCACTTCTGTTATGCTGTAAGATGCCTGCCATACGTCCACTTGTTGTTGAAGTCAAATACACCTTTCCTTGTTTTTATAGTGAAGTTCAGTTTGAAGCCAAACATACAAAACACCCACTGGAAACCCACAGTTCAGTCAGCTGAGGGGAATTAAATACTCACTGCACCTGCATGAGACAAATGCGTCATGGGCGCCAGTTTACTCATGTGCTGAAAAATGTGCAGTTGTAATTGATGGTGTCTTCTCTCCCCCTTCCCCCAGAGAAAAAGAGTACGGTACTCTGAGCTGGACTTTGAGGTAAGACCCCATCCCCATCTGTCCTTAGACTGGTGTTTGTGCTTCTGTCCAACATTTTCTAGAGATTTTTCAATGGTCTCATACAGGAGCCAATGATAGTTGCCACTCTGGTGCTTGTTTCCCCCATCATGCATTTAGTATTAGCAACAGTCCTATCCATGGCCAAACTGCTCAGTGTTTCACATACCTTGATTTCTTAAGGGGGTTTTTTGGCATTGTTTCAAAATAGGGTGATCACATATCACACTTTGAAATATATATGATACAATTAAAATATACATGTGTGATGTTTAATATAAAGTATATATTAACTTAATAGAGTGTGTATGTACATATAGTTCTGCTCATATGTTTACATCCCCCTAGTGGAATATGAAAGAAGTTAATAATTTTAACAAAATACAAGGGATCATAAAATGGTGTTATTTATTTAGTACTGTCTTGAATTAGCTGTTTTACATAACATAGGGTTACATATAACACACAAGACATAATAACTGATATTATATTTATACAAATGAATTTCAAACATTTACACCCTTACTACTGAGTTGTTACCTAGATGATCAACAGTTGAGTCACTGGTTTGTCCTAAACCAAGGGTGTCCAAACTCAGCTCTGGAGCGCCACTGTCCTGCAGAGTTTAGCTCAAACTTGCCTCAACACACCTGCCTGGAAGCCCTCCAAGACTGAGTTTGGGCACCCCTGTTCTAGTATGTCTAGTGAGACATTGATTAGCTGGTTCAGGAGTGTTTATTTGGGGTTGGAGCTAAACTCTGCAGGACAGTTGCTCTCCAGGAGCAGGATTGGACACCCCTGTCCTAAACAGTTAAACCACCCACTGTTCTGTTGAAAAATCCTCCAGGTTCTGCACATTCTTTGGTTTTGTAGCATTTTCTGCATATTTGAACCCTTTCCAACAGTGAATATAAGATTTTGAGATCCATCTGTTCAAGGACAGTTGATGGAGTAATACACAACTACTGTATTACAAAAGGTGAAAACATTCACTGATGCTCAAGAAGGCATCATACTGCATTAAGAGTTAGGGGTGTAAACTTTTGAACAGAATGATAATTTGTCAATTTTGTTTAAAATTACCTTATGATTAACATTTACATGGTGTTTCATGGACATCATTAGTTTGACAGTAGATTTAAAATGACTTTAAACAGTCTTGGCAGTTCATAGATGTGAAGTTGATGAATAATTATAATTTACAGCACTCCTGCAGTTCAAATACAGTTTAAATATTGCATAGCAATAGCTATGCTCAGTGAATTCAGAAAATGGTCTGCATTTAGCATTTCACAAATCTGGTCACCCGATTTCAATGACATCTTTGATATGTCATCACAAAGTGTGCTGTATAACAGCTCCATACAAGCAGGATGTGCTTCTGAATACGGAAGGATCAAGGCTGCAGAAACACTGAACCAGTGTAGAGCTCTGTAAGTGTTGAGTGAGTGGCATTATTGTGTATGAAAGAGAAAGACGGCATAATGAGACGAGTAGAGACTGCACGTGTATGACTGAGGCAACCTGGAGGGCATCCATGGAATGATCAACTGGCAGGATCCAGCAAATCTCCAGTCTAAAACATGCCAATCCATTTTCTTCAGAACACACTTGTGTGCTTTTAAACCAGCTGTTCTTCAATTATGTTTGAAAGCTTAAATTAAATTATGACTGGATATTTGCTCTCCAGTATGGAGGCTTCTTCTCAAACAGAGGTATGTCTTGTTACTAACGCATTCAGATGCTTTTAGAGCTTCATAACCTTTTCCATCCTAGTCAGTGCTGCATGAGATGATCTCCCTCCTGTCCCGATAAGCAAATTTGAGGTCGACAGTGGACTAAAATAATGTTTCATGATTGAGATAATCATTTTTGTTGCTACAAGGATCTATTTCGAAAAGTGAATTCACTGAAACTTACGTATAAATACATAATAATGTGTAGTGCATTTAGTTTTAATGCATTAAATTCCTCTTCAAAACAAAAGCAAAATAATATTTTGCTAAAATGTGTATTGCTCTGGTGCGAGAAAAAAAAAAGCAGGCAGTCAGTCTCCCAGCCTGGTTAAAATGATCTGTTTGCTGGTTTGGCGTTTGTGGCACTTGTTTGCTGGTCAGGCTGGATTTTTGTGTGTTTATGTGTTCCGGCACTCATATTTCGGCAAGTTTTTAGAATTTACACTGAGCAGAATGAAGTTAAATGGGTGAATGTTCAAAATTAAATGCCATAAAATGTATATGTTTTATAAATTTATATAATTAACTTTGGTAGCCCTAAAATGAATGAATTGTTACATAACCATTTATAGAAACCCAAATAAAACTAAAAATTCCATTATCAGAAATCAACCCTAGAACATGGATGCTTACATTCGCAGGTTGGAGCTCCATGTCAGCTCTGCGTGAACATCAGCTGTGACTACAAAACAGCCCAGCCAGCTTCCAACCACCTCCAGTTAAGTCTGGGAATTGGTGGAAATGTCTGTCAGTAAGAAATGACACTGACTAGAGAGCTTTAACATTGTTTAATACCCATCAGAACCAATCCGTATACTACTCAATCAGAGCACCACCCTTCGAGAGGTTGAGTGTTCATAGTCATCCTAGTTTTGCGGTTTAACACCGGTAGCCGTTGACCCAGCTCCTCCCTGGCCTGCCCTTTCTTATTTTTGCTTTTGTTTCTTTTTGTTTTTTGTTTGTTTGTTTTTTCCCCTTCGTTACAGAAAGTGATGCACACTCGCAAAAGACACTCAGAGCTCTACCATGAACTCAACCACTCCACCAAGTTCCACACCATAGACAGGTATAACAGGGACCCTGCCATGTCCTCCTTCAAGGTAAGACCCCTTTAACCTGCGACCCCACACTGATACCCATCCCTGATACGCTCAAATCGTACACCACCCTATAAGCTCCACTTTAACTGAAATAATCTTGTGCTGTGTTTTCTAAAAGTCCTGCATAATTGTGTCACAACGTCGGTAATGGATTACCATGCTCACATGCTGCAGGAGTTTTAAAGCAATAGTAACTGGAGCACTAAATTGATAACTTGAATTACTAATAATAATTACATAAATAATTTGTTACTGCAGAAAACTTATTGTTTTAATGGTGTATTCATTTCTTCAATTCCTTTTAACTTTAGCTTTAAAATAGCTGTGATTAAAATTCATAAACGTTTTAATATTAAATATGATGCAAATGCATATGCTAGCTTATAAATGAAAAATAAATACATATTTGCAATCACAATTTATTCACTCTCATGTTGTTTTAAACCTGTATGACATTTTCTAACTTTTAATATAAGGACAAAACATTTTTTGAATTTTATGTTTCACAGAAGAAAGAAAAGCATGCATGCTTGGAACGACATGAGGGTGAATAAATGATGACATAATTTACATTTTTGGGTGAAATATCTCTTTAAAAGTAAAAAAAAAAAATGATGGGGAGTGAACAGTTTGTATTTTGGGTCTTGGATATAAAAAAAAAATTAAATCCACCTGGTGTTTGGAAAAACTCAGTGCATGCACTGCTTCCCATTTCTCCAAGCCTTGTGTTTTGTAAGCTAATTAGTACAGTATTAATAGTTGGATCATATTCAGTCTCCTTCCATTAAGCTTCTCAAAGTACACCTGCCTGCTCTCCTATCTGCTTTCCCTGGAAATAGCTGACTGTTCATCTTTGCATTAGCTAGACTGCTGAATCTTTAATGTTCTATTAGTGGAAGGAATATTGCAAACATCCATACGCCAGTGTCCAGAGGCTTTTGTCATTAGGATTTAAAAACAAATACCCTGCAGAAAATGACCTGCCCGCAATTTGTGACAAGTGTATACTTTGGTGGCATTTGCCACATGCTCACTCACTTTTCATTTGGATCATGCTGTCTGCAGCCTCAATTACAGCCTATTTCAGCCCATTAGATCCTTGTGCTGCATTACTTTTCACCAGAGGCATGTCCTGTGGTGGCCCTGGCCACCTGAGTGATTTGATTGGTCACCCCAAAATTCTAAACTGTGATTGGCCATCTCTTAAGTTATCAGTGAAGATGGATTATGTTTCTTGACAATGAGTCTGTACATGGGCCACCCCAGTAAAAAAGGTCTGGACACACCACTACTGGATAACTTCAGACAAGCATTAGAGGTTCATGTTCTTATATTACAGATAATCAATCTCTTTCTAACTGCTTTTCAAATGCTGACAGTATTGGTGAGTCATGATGCTTTTAGCATTTGCCTTTCAAATCCCAACGGGACAGCAACTGTAGAATAATTATTTTGATTTCATTCCACAGGTTTGATTATATTGACAATGCTATAATTACTGCGATAATGGGCAGGAGAGTTTGAAAAAAATGAAATTTCACATTCATAGTTATTATAATAACCCAGTAGCTAAGACAATCAATTATTTGGATTTCTTCTTTAGGTCAGGACTGGTGTGAGAGGGATTTTCCACTGAATGTGATCACATAAAGATGTGGTTTTCAAATATGTATCAACATAACTATAATCTAAAAGACAAGTGCACTTTACACAGTTACCTTTCACAGGTGCACTTTTACAGTTTGTTTGGATCCTACATTACTTTCTCTAAAGACCAGTCTACCTCATGAAACCACATCTACCTCAAAAAGTATCACGTTATAACAGCAAATCTGTGCTAAAAAGTGCCATGCCAGTGGTCATTAAACCCTTCTAACAATCCGGCCGACTTCACAGGTTCCTCCTCCACCTCCACCACGGCAATCTGAGCCTTTAACACGGAAAATGAGCTACGTTTACAAAGAGAGCCAATGTAAGCATGTCAACCAAACCCTGTATTCCCAGCCCCATGTGGTAGGGCCCTGATTTATAGAGGCTCTCATTGGTGCAGTGTAAACCCTCACTTGTAGAGTTAAGTGGTGTAGAGGACTAAATGTTGGATGTTTGTTCACGTTAGGCTGATTTTTTTTCCCGTTAACTCAGCGTGGAATAATCCATTCAGTGTTGTGATGTACTGTTGTAAATCTCACAGCCTTGTGCTGTCATTGTGCTTGTGCTGGAGCTATTTTAAACCCTTAAAATTTTTTTAAACCAAACTGTACATATAAATACTTATAAACCACAAAAACTTTCAATTTATTAAAATTTGTTTTAAAACCTCATAAACACATAAAACATAATGTGGCCACAAATCTGCATTAAAGTGAGAACAACCTGTTTGGTATACGGTAAGTAAGCACATACTGTTCTAGAAAGGTAATACTTATGATATTTGAAGTTCATTTGGTCAGAAATGTGTGTGGGCTGTTAAAGAGATGAGTGCACATTTGGGAAAAATCTAAGCCATTTTTCGCCTCCTGACTTATTGTAGACTTTCCTTTTATCCCATTGGATCATTCTAACAGCTGGTGAGGAAAGTGAACTTAGTGGGGTCTCTTAACACATCCAAATGGCCCCTTCCAAACTGTCCATTTCTTCTAATCGTCTTTCTCTCTCTATTTCCCTCCTACATGCGCTGACTTCAATCTTTCGTTCGTACAAGGGTTCGCTTCATCTTGTTCTTTTTTTTCTACGGGGACAGTGGAGACGCCTTAGTCACTTGCAGTCTGTTAAATTGCTTGTGTTAGTGCGAATGGAGCTTGATGCAGTTTGAAAGGCAGTTAACCTCTAAGTGAAGATGCTGGCTGGGCTGATAGCTGTAGCGGATGCACCCCATATGGTCCCAAATGGATGAAGGACTAGTACCCTGTGTTCAATCTATTCATGCTAATGGGGATCCTACAAATGAACACAGCGGGGAACTTGAGAGCAGAGGAAGGCAACAGTCTGGCTCTTGAAATATGTATTAGCTGAAAACTTCTGCTCTTACACCCACTGAGTGTTTTATGAAAGAGTAAACATCATAAATACATGCACGGAGTTAGCAATAATGTAAGATTTGAACAATCCCCTAAACTTAACTTAGGCACGTAACCGGCATAATGTATTCTATTGACATGACTGATGCTTTAAATCATGTAGTTGTTACATTTCTATGCATTTTTCTTATAAAGGACGATGCAGCTGGTTAAAAAAAATGTCGAGGGTAAAATTTGTGATTTATTTTTTAAATAAAAAGCATAAATTGTCATATAAATTACAACTGAATTCTATATAATACTCATCAAGGAAATGCATGAACTTTTACAGTAAATTATATATTAAATAAAAAATTAAATTGTTCTTGTAAATAAAAAAAACGAGCCACAATTTAAATATTTTATGGAAAAAGTTTTTTTTCCCCTTAATCTTTTGTAATGAGTTCTGTACATTAG